TAATTAACTTATAGACATACACATCTTCCAGTAAATTCCTTAAAGATGGAAGTTTTCTGCCTCATTGCTTTATTTATCCCATTTGATATTCTAGAGCCTGCTCTTTGATTTGTCTGCTTTCTTCCACATGCATTATAAACATGCAATAGGAGAGACAGTGCCCATGCACTGTCTAAATGCCAAAGTCAAGTGTTTAATATGCAATTCAAGGAGACTCTACCAACATTATCACTGCCTCACCATCATCATAATTATCACCATCATCACCCACCAGTGGCTAACATTCACTGGACTCTTTCCAGGTGTCAAGCACTGTGTTAATTGCTTTGTACACACAATTGTCAATCAGTTAATAATTGTTAGTCTCACAGCACCAGGAGGTTAGTTACCAGAAATGCAAAGAATTTCTATTATGAAACACATGTGTATTCTGGTTGCTAGGCAAGTGGGAAATGTAAAAATTATAAAATTCTAGAATGTCTATTGGTGGATCTTCATGCTTGGGGATGCTGTGGTTAGTTTTCTTTATGTTCTGTGGCAATGGTGTCTCAATAAATTCTGTCTAGATTATTTTCTTAGTGAAGGTGAGTGGGAAAGGCCTGTTGCCTGCAGAAATCTTTTTGGAGGAACCTGAGGACAAACTTGTGTTTTAACTCTCTGTTTGAGAGAACTGCTGGTTCCGAGTCAAGCCTTTGGCAGTCAGTGTCCTTACTGTGCTGGAATAATTGGGATGCAGTATCAAATAAAGCAATCAAAAAGGAAATTCCTCTGAAACTCTCACTGGTATTTAATATTTTATTCATTCCCGTGTTATTGTGCTTTGCCTGCAGTAAAACAGCCTCCAAACAGCCTCCTAGGCGTGAGGCATTAGGAGGCTGACAAGCGTTTTCCCATGAATTGCTACTACAATACAATAGCATTTTGTTTGCTGTTTTGTTTCCTTGTCTTCTAACATTCTTTTTGACTTTCAAGGAAAAAAAGAAAAAAAAGAAACCCTCCTATGAATGGCAAAGAAAAGGAAAGAAAAGTTCCTTTTAAACTTTCAACCTTTTTCATTTGCTACTGGGTAGCATGTAAACATTTTTTTTCTCATGGTATATACATTATGCCGGTAGTCTCTTTTGTTTTTTGTGCTTTAAATGGCCTCCCCCCCCCCCTTTAACCACATAACACTGCTTTTCCATTATGGATTCAGAAAATCGGCAGGGGAAAAAAAAATCAGCCGTGTGTGTATATTAAGAAAGGGGAAGTCAGAGGAAGATGGATCAAACCATCCATCTATCCATGTGGCCATTTATCTATCAATCCATCTCACTACCCACCCGCCTCTATTAAAATAAATAGCAGGCACTGTACACATTGCTGGTTGGCTGAAGTTGTGATCTGGACAAAAGGTCTGTTTGGGAAAAGGATGCTGAAGCTCTAATTCTATTTGTGCCGGTTGAAAATCAGGAGGGGTTTTTCTACACTTCACTTTTATTAGATTATTTCTTATAGATGGTTTCTTTTTTCCTCCCAGACGCGTGGTAGAGGCTGCTGAAGCAGTTGGTCTATAGTTGGAATAATTAAATTAACCATTTGGTACAACTTTTAGGGGAGAGCTCGCGTGTAGAAAGCACAACTCGAACAAAACAGCGCGCTGGGGCTGGGACTCCGACCTAGCCCAGCCCCGCAAGCCTTTCATCTTCGGAGCAGAAGCAGGACCCCCGGCCACAAAAGACCGGCGGAGGGGAAGATGGCCAGCGATGGTGGGGGTGGGGTGGGGTGGGGAGAGGGACAGTGTCCCGGAACAAAATAAACCTACAAGGCCTACAAAGGGGAAAATGAAGTCAAGAGCATTTGCTCATTCGACCGTGCGGTCCCAGCGCTGAAAGGTCTCCTGGTACAAAGAGAGGAAGGCTCGCAGCACTGCGACTTGGCAAAGCCGGGCACTAGGGGGCGCCTGCCGAGAGGCCGGGGCCGGGTGCGGGGACCTGGGAAAGGGCTGGCGCGGGGGGTCGGAGGAGCCCGGAGTGGAACCTGTGGGAGCTCCGAACCGCAGGGCTGGGAGACTCCGAGCTCGTGGAGGGCGGAGGCGCCGCTGGGAGTGCCAGGTGGGGCCCAGCACCGGTCTCGGCAGGGCCTGACCCTCTCTTGCCCTCTCCGGGTTCCCGGCTCCGGCCCCCGCGGCCTCTCACTTCTCTAGCCCCGGCCCCTTAGGGGACTCGGCGCTCCGCTTGCTCGGCTTCTCCTGGAATCACCCACTAACGCCTCAAAGCCCGGCTTTCCGGAGCTGCACAACTTATTCCACATTCCAACATTCCCTGCGCACAGGAACTCCTTCCACGCACCCACTAGACCACAAAGTTCCTACATTTTCATTCCAGAGCTATCCCCAAAAGCTGCGGAAATAAACCCTGCTCCTCCGAGCTCCCCACACACTCCAGGTCTGCGGCCCGCCGCCGCCCCCGCCCCAGTCTGTGCAGGGGGCTGTAGCAGAGGAGGACCCAACGAACAACTGCCCAGCACTCGGGTCGGGCCCGCAAGCCGCTTTCCCGAGCGGGGCGCTCGCGCTCCTTACCGGCCCGGGTGCCCAGGGACGCGGATGCCAAGAGCGGTGCGAGCTTGGTTATTGCCAGGCATGGGCCTTGAAGCTAAAACTCATCCCCTCCCGGACACCCCATGGCATTCTCTTCTGCAGAAAAACCCGTTTAAACCCCACCTAACCAGAAGCAGCAGCTTGCGGGGTGCCACCCAGGCCTGTGCTCCCCGCATCCACATCTCCCGAGTGCGCGGCTGGGGCGGCGGAAACTGGTTCGGAAAACCAGGGAGCAACCCCCCAAAGTCCGAGAGATTCTAGAAACCTGGACAATCGCAGCCTCGTGCTTGACAACCTATTCCTCATCTCGGGGGCTGGGGGTGGGGGTAGGAGTTGGGATGGGGGTAAGGGTGGGGAAATTCCATGTATAGCGTAGCGTCTGAGGGGGCATAGCCACCTCCTGTCCAAATGCAGATTCATATTCATGAAAGCGAGATAAATAAAGACAAATCCCCACTGTAATAACACTTGGATTCGCATCAGTCTTTGCTGGCCTTTAGGTTTAGGGGACCGAAGACAGATGTTTGCATCTCTTTTCTCCTCTTGTCTTGTGACCATAAAGAAAAACCATTTAGAGCGTTGCAATTTGTTTCCCGCCTCAGTAAAACCTTGTACACATTTATTTTCATTTCACCCCCGTGCACAAAAAAGTGCACACTGGTCACCAAGGGCCCTTCTTTATCAAATACGCATTGTACAACATACAACTGCAATAAAACTATCAGCCCTCCCCATAAAACTATCACCAGGCTGCTCCGCGCGTCCGCTGCCCGCATTCCCGACAGGTGCTCTTTCTCACGTCCAGAGGACTCGCCATCACCTGAAACCAGCCTGAAACTCACCCAGCGGAGAAGCGTGGGACTGGGGGGCGGCTGTCCCTGTTTAATCCATTACGGCGTCCGCAGCAGTTTAGTGCGCAATAAAACACGGTGGCAGTGGAGAGCGGGCGCCCATCCACTCCCCGGCACTAGCATCGAATTAAACCACTTAGTTTGGCAAACACTGAACGCCTAAATGCCCCTATAAAGACTTTATGAGTTTGTTACTTTAATTACTGACTTGTTACAGAGCACATAAAGGGGGTAATGAATGCAATAAAACTAATTATCTACACATTTAATTCATATAAAATATCCAGGGTTTGTTTACACCACACGGCGATTCAACTAAGCATTCCTCCTCTTGTCCAAAGAGAGAAAGGATCTAATGAAATAGTTTCCCTTATTCTGCTACAGCCTAACGAACCAAATGAAAATTACCCTCTGCGTAAATTATCGAGCCACCGAGGTCCACAAATCACGGCTCACTTTGTGCCTTGCTGCCAGCACCTAAGAGCCTGAGGAATTAGACAAGAAAAGTGCCCGACCTGGATCCCGGACATTTAAAGGCAAGGATTTCGCTAACGGCAGTCGGCAAACCTAAAGGGCAAACAGCAATGCTCTTTTCGAAGTCCGGGGTTTGTGGGGGACTGTGGGCACCTGAAAAAGTGGAGGCTAAAAAAGAGAGGGAGAACGCCAGAGAGGGATGGAAGAGAAGACACAGTCGGGGATACTTCATACCCGCGTGCCAGTTATGGAGTAATTAAAACCAACGACCGCACAGAACCTCCAAAACAACAAAATGCAAAACCTTGCGCTAATGCAGAACTGAGAGCAAAGAAGCCATCAGGTGACAATCCAGATGTTTTACATTCAAGAGCTTTACTCATATGTTCTTTTATTTTTTAAACGACTGTGTAAGAGGAGCCTCTAGAATAAAGCACATTAAACCACAAGAAATGCAATTCAGAAGATGCTTTTTTTTAAAACCCCCTCTACCAGGTGTATTTTAAAGAAATCCACTTATCGTTCACATAAATCCCCTTGGCCCACTTACTCTATGTTACAGGGCGCCTGAGTCTTGCCAATGTCCCAGTCCTTTATAACATTTCATGCACTTCGGGGGGTAGGCTTGTTGTTAAATTGAGCGTGTAACGCTCTTACAAAACAGGTTTTCTATGACATCAAGGTTTCTTCTCCCTAACGGAGGAAAAAAAAAAAAAAAAAGGAGAGAGAGAGAGGACGAAGAAGGGGGAAAATACACACACTATCTCAATTTATGCCTAAGGTATATGATCAGTTAAAAAGGCTTAAAAGCTCGGGGAAATTGGATCAGGGAGAATCGTCACCCAACTTTCATTATTTCCAAGTAGTGTGATTGAATTAAAGGGCAGGGAGCTGGTTAGAAGGGAGGATCAGGGGCTCAGTGCGTAATGGTGTGGTATTAAATTCTAATTAGAGATGCAGGAATCAATGATAGGGAGGTTGGACAGCTCAGTTCCCCAGTGCCAGCCCAATAGACGGATGAGTTATTGTCATGTAAAAAGCGCCAGCAATAAGACCAACCGCTTTGCTATTGTCCAAGTGGAAAGAGCCAAGTTTATTATGAGGACTATATGCTCTAGAGACCTCAGACAAGGCATCTCATAGGAGGCTTTTTCATAAAACTAGGCTCTGCTGGTAGTAAGGAGGCCAGTTTGGAGGCAGGCGTTGAGCTGTGCACATCTCCCCACTCCAGCCACCTTCTCCATACCCATCTTTTATTTCATTTTTCCACTTGGCTGAGCCATCCAGAGCCTTTTCAATGTATAAAATGGAATATTCTTACCTCAATTCCTCTGCCTACGAGTCCTGTATGGCTGGGATGGACACCTCGAGCCTGGCTTCAGCCTATGCTGACTTCAGTTCCTGCAGCCAGGCCAGTGGCTTCCAGTATAACCCGATAAGGACCACTTTTGGGGCCACGTCCGGCTGCCCGTCCCTCACGCCGGGATCCTGCAGCCTCGGCACCCTCAGGGACCACCAGAGCAGTCCGTACGCCGCAGGTAAGGACCGTCAGCTTTCTCAGTGGAGAAAGCCGCCTTTCCGCTGGTATATAGGAAGCCTTGATTGCATTTGAAAATGGAAATGTGTTTAGTATTTACCAAACGAAATTTGCTTACACAAATGAAAGAATTTATCACGTTAGAAGCGATTGCAGGGAGGGGTAATTCACTTACAGGGTTACACTATCCTAGTCACACCCGAACCGCCAACAAAATTATCTTAAGCTGCCAAAATGATAGGCATAATTTATTTACTTTGCGATGAGACGTAAAGCTTAGAAAATAATTAAATAACAAAGAGTAAAGCTCATTACTGGCAGTGTCTCTTTTTTTAAGAACCGACAGAGGCTCACACCTCTTTGGCAGGTCATTTTTATGATTATTTCTTTAATTAATATTATTTTTCTTTTGCAGCGCTTTCCCCCAACTTTTGGGCCGGGGCAACTTCTGAGAATTGAAAAGTTCCAACAGTGGGAGTGTTGGGTAGCTTCTTCCCTGGTTCCCTGATATTCCGACTGATGTTTTCGGACTTTTTTTCCTCTCTCGTTTTTCCTCATCAAAGCATTATCCCGTGTCCCGGCCCTCAGCCGTCTCCGATGTACGATTTCAACCCACCCAAAGGCGCTTGTGCCAGAAGGGACCCCCGACAGAGCCCGAAGTTTGCGCCCCTGTTTCCGTATATAACTGATCTGCTCCGTTTTTCTCGGCAGCTCCGCTCAGTCACTCTCCCGCGCCGGTGTCGGGGACGCCTCCAGTGCCACCTGACTGTGGAGTCCTCACATTCCGGCTCGGTGGCCCTCGCGTTCCAGAACGTTTTGCTCACACTGTGTCCCCTCTATTGTCCCCAGTTCCTTACAAACTCTTCACCGACCACGGTGGCCTCAATGAGAAGCGCAAGCAGCGGCGCATCCGCACCACTTTCACAAGTGCGCAGCTCAAAGAGCTGGAGAGGGTGTTCGCGGAAACGCACTACCCTGACATCTACACCCGGGAGGAGCTGGCGCTGAAGATCGACCTCACCGAGGCTCGAGTCCAGGTATGCGCTCCCGGGAAACCACCCGGCTTCGCCGCACCAGGTCCGATAAGGGGTGAGGCGCGGGGAACCGCTGATATTGTTGAAGGTTCCAAATTCCCGGGCCTATCAGGAGAGGGGCCCGGGCCCAGGGCTCAACAGAGAGGCCAAGTTCGGAGGGGCAGTGCTCACGAGGAAGGGTTAGGGCCCGCGATCTTGGGTTTACTTTCACAGCTGCAAAATGTTTGCCACCCCACCTAGAGCTGCTGAGGCATCCGGGGCGTGAATAGGTGAGGCAGTTCTGGAACAGGAAGCGTCCTGTGGGAGGAGTGCATACTTTGACCCCCGTATTTATTTATTGCCAAATGTATCCCTCCCAACTGAAGCGCTTTTAACTTGGAGTCATGGCGTGCAGGTGCGTTTTCCAGGAAACTGACTTGCATGACATTCGCAAACGGGCTGTGACTCCGTGAAGGTCATGAAATGATGCTTACTCTAACCTTTAGGGACAAGTGCACGCACAAGCTGCCGTGGCCCCTCTCCAGGTGAACCTCCCTCCCCAGTGGAGGGGCGGTGTGCACTGTCTCACTCTTCTGGGGCCAACGGGCAGCAGTCACCAAACCCAGAGGCCCCATCCTCCTTCCATCAATTAGAATTTCACTCTGGACTTGAGGCCTAGTAGGGATGGCGAGTTTGGGGCATCTCAGGAAGTAGCGGAGCAAAGGCCCGCTAAAGTAAGAGCTTCCATTTTAGGGCCTTCCTGGGCTCTGCGGCTTTTTATCTCTCCTGCGAGCCCCCCTTTTCCTGGCAATGTCAGATCACCTTAAGACAGTTTATCCGAAGACACACCAGCAACAATCAGGCTGGGGGCGGGGGTGCGCGCTGGGGTACAGACGGCGCGGGGAGTCTAAAATAAGCGGAAACAGATCGTGGGCCATCCTGATCCGCGCTTTTCTCTCCCATCTCCCTTCTCTCCCTGCTTCGCGGCCTCTCCGACCAGGTGTGGTTCCAGAACCGCCGCGCCAAGTTCCGCAAGCAGGAGCGCGCAGCAGCGGCCGCAGCGGCCGCGGCCAAGAATGGCTCTTCGGGAAAGAAGTCCGACTCCTCCCGGGACGACGAGAGCAAAGAGGCCAAGAGTACCGACCCGGACAGCACTGGGGGCCCGGGCCCCAACCCCAATCCCACGCCCAGCTGCGGCGCCAGTGGCGGCGGCGGCGGCGGGCCCAGCCCTGCAGGAGCCCCGGGGGCGACGGGGCCAGGGGGCCCGGGAGGCGAACCCGGCAAGGGCGGCGCTGCGGCGGCAGCGGCGGCTGCGGCAGCGGCGGCGGCGGCGGCGGCTGCTGCTGCGGCTGGAGGCCTGGCTGCGGCCGGAGGCCCTGGACAAGGCTGGGCTCCCGGCCCCGGCCCCATCACCTCCATCCCGGATTCGCTCGGGGGCCCGTTCGCCAGCGTCCTCTCTTCGCTCCAAAGACCCAACGGTGCCAAAGCCGCCTTAGTGAAGAGCAGTATGTTCTGATCGGGGACCCTGCGGCGGCGGCGGCGACAGCGGGCGAGGCAGGGCCGGGTGGCCGAATGGGCGAGCGGGTAGGCCCGAGGCTGTGGCCGTCGCTGCTGCCGTGGCTTTTTCATTGAGAGCCCAAAGTAATCGCGATAAGAATAAAGAGAAAACGGCGTCGCCCCATTTCAACCCCACTCCTACCCCCATCCTGAACTCCAAGCTAAACAGAAAACTTGCCTGGCTTCGCACCTGCCTCAGGGCCGCGTGGACGCGCCGGGGCAGCGCCTGTGGACTGGGAGGCGCGAGCAGCGAGGCCCGGACTCGGGGACGCTCTCAGGGGGCTGTGTCTGCGTGACGGTGTGTGTCTTTCTCGGGGAATGTGTGTTTGTGGCCCGAGCAGGCGACAGGGAGAGTTGGGGCAGGTGGCACAACTCAGTGATTTGCTTAGGAAAAGAGAAAAATGAACAAAATATCCCCCAAAATAAAAGAACTTCGGAAGGCAGCAATCATTTAAAAAAAGAAAAAGAAAGGTTTTTAAATTCAAGAAAAAAAAAGTAAATTGTGGGAAAAGGGGAGGCAGCAGCTGGCACTGCCTGGGGGCCCTATCTTGTGAACCCCTACATTCGCGCCCTCCGGACAGCACAGACTCCCTGGGGGTTCCTCCTCAGGGGAGAGTGGGGACGCCTTGCAGCCCCTTTCCCCTCGTGTCCTTGGGTTCCGCCGCTGCGGCGACGACTCGTGCAGACTGTCTCCGCCACCAAGGTGACTTCCTCGCGCCCGCTTGCCTGTCCCACCTCGCCGAACGCCATCCCGCCGTCAAAGCGTCCCGACTCCACATAGTTGCAACACCCAATCCCGAATCTCTGCAGTCACTCGGCCCTGAAAGATGCCCTATTCATGAGATGCCTTTTCATCATAAACTCTGCAAACTGTCTCATTTCGCAACTCTTCCCTCTTATCTCCCGTCACCCACACCGGTATTTCCTTATTCCACCAGCTTTTACTGAACTTTCTGGCATTGCTCTGGATTGCAGTCAATTGTGGTTTACGCAACTGGCTGCAGAGAAATCTTCTGAGCAAGGGAAAGGCGCGCACACAAGTTTGCAGAAGCGTTTCAGTTTGCATTTCTGTTTGATCCGAAACGGACTCATATCCTATATGGTGGATGGACTGTATATTGATGATTCCATTCTTCGCGCAGTTTAGACATCTCTGTTGGAGTTTTGTTTTTGTTTTTTATTTTAAAAGGCACAAACTATAGATATTAGTTGAATGTTAAGGATTTAAATTTTTCTGTGTCTTTCTACAACTGTGTTCTGTGACTCAATTGTATCGTGTTAATATCAGTACAGACCGTCTCTTCTACGTGACCGTATAATGTTTTTCTCTTCTTGTAGTCTCTATGGTGTGTCTTTACGGAGTAATAAGGTTCTCACGGGTTCAATTCCTTTGTGTTTAGAGAGACCACGGTTCAGACAATGGTATATATTTTTGTTATCAGGTGCATGTCTGTCTGATTTCATTTTTTCTTTTTGTTGAGTTATGTTTGTGAACATAAGCATCATAAGTTATGTTTCAGATTTTCGAATTTATTTATATGTGTTATAATGAATGCTTCTATTTAAAAGGGAAATATTTCTACATGTGCATATAGTTTTCCAAGAGTGTACCATTAACTTGATTGTTGATAATAAAAACAAAAAGCAAGTCTAGCAACTGAACTCTTCTGACTTTTCTTTGATTCTTTTTTGTTTGGTTGTTTTAAAATTTTTTAAATTTAAAAAATGATAAGGGAGGACAGAGGAAATTGTACCAAATATCTAGAAGCCACCATGGCTCTGGAAACCTAGGTGGGTTGGGAGTCTAAACACAGGCAGTCAAATCCAGCCAATATAAAATTTAGTGCTTGGGATAGCAGGCAGGATTCTTCCATTCTGTGCTTATTTGCCTTCCAGTCACCAACCACAAAAGAACACCAGGCCATTGATGAGAATGTTCAGATCGGTGCCTAGGCTGGCTGGTGGATGCGGGGTCAGGGAAGGCACAATTCTGATTCCAACGCTCGACTTTGAGTTGGACTTGTAAGTGGAACTTCTGCTTTCAGGATTTTTGGTGTCCTGCTAGGTCCCCATGGTTCAGCCTCCTTAAACCCCACAGATAGGGCTCAACAAGCAAGGATACCCAAGGGTCTCTGTGGGGGCAGGTGGACCAGGAAGGCTGGGGCCTGAGGGCAACTTGCAGGCAATGTTAGTGTGTTTGGAAAAATAACAGGACAACTGATTTGGGAGCACTTGCAAGTACCAGGTTGGGCCCTCCATGCACTATCTCATCGACCCTCAAGACAACACCCGGAAGCACGTACAGCTCCCATCCTCCTTTTCTTTTAAACAGATCAGGAAATGAAGGTAGCAGAGGTTAATTGCTGAAGAGTCCCTGGCATATGAGTGATGGGTCTGCCTTTGAACCCAGGAAATCAGATTCCACAGCCTGCACATTAACTGTACCAGTTGTTCCCAGAGTGTGGTTCCTGGAGCAGCAGCAGCATTTGGGAACTTGTTAGACACATGAATTCTTAGACTCTATGCTAGATCTACTAAATCAGAAATTCTGGTAGTGGGGCCCAGCAAAGCGTTTTAACAAGCTCTCTAGAGGATATGAGAACTACTGAGAGACACCATGAGAAATCCAAATGAAAAATTTGCAGAAATGGAGCTATACTGTGAACAGGTGTGGAGCAGGGACTCTGACAGCTTCCATTACCCCGTCTTGGAAGGAAGGAAGGAGTCACCACCACAGCCCTAAGACAGAATCTTGCCTCTTCCTTGGACTGTTTGGCTGGGCCACCTTCTTCAAGCAGAAGTCTGTGCAGTACTTCTCTGTTTGGGCCTTACCAGTTAGATGAGCCAGTTCTCTTCATCTGAGGGGAGGCCACAGTCTGCCTCCTCTAGTCTGAGGATTAGCAGCTGATCTGGCTTGAATTTATCAGGCCTTCCTACCTTAAACGTCCAGATATGGCTTGTGCCAGATCAAGCAGGTTTCATTCAGAAATTTCAAATCTTTGGACCTTAGCTAACTTCTCACAGTTTTTCTAAAGGGCTTTAAAATAGTCTTAAAAAAAAATCTCTAAATGCCCCTCAGTAGACTTCCCAAGACAACATTCTATACACAATGCCATTAATTGTACTGGTCTAAAATGTCAGCAATTGCCAGGTCCCTTGGACCCCAGGACTTGGTTGTAAATATAACTTAAGAGGTGTCAGAGACACCAAAAGAAGGGTAGGAATTTATTGACAGAAAGAACATTCAAAGTCCAGGTAACCTAGTCCTAGGCTTGGCAGGTAGAAAATTAGCGTTCCCTTTGGCATTGAGAGCCACAGGGAAGCCTCTGTGAGCTGATGGGCAGGCCAGTGGGACAGGCATTCTGGAGAAGACAAGCCCAGGAGAGAGAAAGAAAGGAGAGAGGAAGAAAAAAAAAAAAAGTAGAGAGAGGAAGGAAAGGAGAGACACAGAAAGAGAAGGAGAACCAAAGAGCCAGAGAAAAGTTTTAGGAACCCCCAGAAGGCCCTGGAGATCCTTTCAGATGAGGATCCCCAAATTCCCTTCTCCTGGTCTTGCCTTGCTTTGAGTGACTGATCTCCAAGATAAGGTAAACTCTCTAGGGACTGGTAGGGAAAATACACTTCCCATCCCTGCACCCCAACTTCCAAGAGGATTGCATTTTAAATCTCTGGAGACACCCAGCTGTAGTATCTCAAATATCAACTTCTCTTTAATTTGGGTCACCTCTGCCTCTCTTATAAGTCAAAGAAGCAAACTGTTGGGAGGCAAGTTTGTTGATTGAATGCAAAATAATGCTCTTGTAATATGATGGAGCCTAGTGGCAGGACACTGTGTCTCTTGCATTGTGTCATTTCCTTGGAGCCCTGCACAGTGTGAACAAACTCACTTTCACTTTTCCTCTCCTGAGGAATTTGCATTTTGGCTCATCAAAGCATGCTTTTTCCTGGCAACTCCGGGACCACATGTGACTTCACAGAAGCCGCATAAGCTGATGCCAGATGGCCACCTTGCAGCAAGTCTCCTTCATGACGTGGCCGAGAGTGTTTCCATCAGAAAGTGGTTTCAGAGTTGGGCCAAAAGCCCAGCAATAGTGGTTCCCCAGATGCTTCTCTGTGGCCACCTCATGTCCTTTTGAAGATAACCTGTGGCTAGATAGAGATGGCCCTTGATTAAGGGAAGGGATCTGTGTGACCTTGAGTGGCAAATAACTTAATCCCTCTGAACCTGGTTCATCAGCAGTAAATATGGAATAGTAACACAGGCTTGTGAGATTGTTGTGGGGTTAAATTAGATATACAATGAGTATCTGGCATAGCAGGAAGTTTTCAGCGAATGTCAGATATCATTACTATTAGTATCATTATTATCATTAAATTCATAGATTCTTTCTTGAACTTCCTAGCTCAGGACTCAGAATACTGAAAACAACCCTCAGTTGTAACTAAAGTCATGGCCCAGGAACACAGAGTGTAAGGGAATATGCAAAGATTGAAATTGGAGAATTTTGTTGAGGGTGATAGTCACAGCCAAGGGCTGACGAGTAATAACTATTAATATTTATTGAGTGCTCATATATGGCAGGCACCTTTAAGCTTATGAACTTTAAAGCCTTTAGTCCTCACAACTACCCAAGGAGAAAGTACAATTCCCATTTTTTTTCTTAGGAGGAAACTGAGGCAGAGGGGCTAAGTAACATGCCGAGGGCCACACCGCTATTAGTACTGCAACAGGAATCCAACCCAGTTAATTTGTCTTCAGAGTCCATGCTCTTTAAGCACTGCTTCTTAATTACTGTTCTTCCTCTGCAAGAGGAAGAATTCATTTTAGCCCATGAGGTCATATACAACTAGACTGGGCAGGAGATCTCATCTTGCAAAGAGGCTCAGGAAGGTACTCAGCCAGATTCAGAATGAAGTCCAGGGCCTGAAAGGGAGCAGGGTTTGGGGTCCCCAGGGAAGGGAGGCTGTTTTCTGTAAGGCAGCATGTATCTTTCTGGTAGCTCGCAGCATCTTTCTGGTAAATGAACAAGACAAGGACTGGCCAGGGTCATGGAACATGGAAGAGAAAGGAATAGTTATGTTTATGAAGTATGGAACATTAGCTGGTGGACAGGAATGGTTGCAAGGAATAGACATCAACCTCTAGGCTCATTTATTACCACCATGACAGATGGATGGTGCAAATGGCAAAAGTCCCCCAAATCCTTAATTTTCCAGGCCTAATCTGAAATCAATCATCTTAAATTAATTAATTCAAATCCTTAATTTAATTAATTGACTTAATCTGAACTAACTTGATTAATTTAAATCCTTAAATCCTTAATTTCCCACAGTGTCTGTTTACAAATCTGCATGAAAAAATAATGACTGAATGACTTTACCCAGTGGTGTTTCCACAGAAAGCAAAGTACAGTGCCTAGACCTGGGACCTCCCAAGCCAATAAGTGGGATTACCTGAAAACAGTCTGTGACTCTGTCCCCATCACTAGAGTAGATGTTTTGAATTGTGTTAGTCTTGGTTTAATTCAGGAGTTTTTAACCTTGGGTTCATGGATAACATTTAAGGAGGAACAGCAACAAAAAAACATACATATTTTTACTAATCTGTACCTGAAATTTAGCATTTTCTTTCAACGGTGAATGTAGGCAAAAAAGGCACAGTAGTATTATTAGTACTTATGACTTTGTCACCAATGGAAATCACAAATATTTTCATTTCATATTAGAGTTTTTGAAGTGTGGAGAAATGGAAAAAGGATCCTCACCTGACCCTAAACCACTTGATGATGTAATTGACCTACTGCTAGGCTAATGCTTCCCCACTCATAAGCAATGAGCTATTATTGACTGAGTCACTGTATAAAGAGCTCTGCCCAGTGGTCTGGACAGAGGCAGAGATGGAGGTGGATTACAGACTTGCAGACTTCTGGATGCAGACGTGATTCTAGTGTTCAACTTACCGATGGGAGAGTAAAGCTGGGTTTAAGCCCTTTTATCCCAAGAATATTCTGTTGTCATTTCTCTGTTTCACTGAATCCATAGTAAACTCTCCCGGGGCTGAAACCCTCAGGTAAGACAGAAAATACCTCAATATATCATTTACATTTACCATTAATTTGAAGTTATGGTAATTATTAGATCAGCCACTAGATCTTGTTGTTTAATATATTAATAAAGAAGCACATAGATGACTATATGACAAAAGTTTTTGATGAATTTATTTTAATTGGCTTCTTTTGTAATCATATGCATTTCATTTTTTGCATGTAAAAATGTCATCTTGAGATGGGTTCATAGGCATCACCAGACTGCCAAGGGGTCCATGGCACAAAAAAGCTAACAGCTCCTGGCTAATTGATGAGAGCAGGGCATTCCCCTCTCTGCAAACTCCGACTGTAAGAATCTCTCATAGAACCACATCATGTAATCATTTTATTCTACAGGTGGAAGAAATTATAGAGAAGTTTTAAATCTATCACATGTTCCTTTAAAGGACAAAATGGGATGAAGCAAGCCCCCAAAGCCAAATAAGGAAAGTTCCAGGATTTTAAAAGGCACTGGCTAGGTAAGGGTGATAATGAAACAGCACAGGACAGTGGGAGGTGAGTCAGGGTTTCAACAGGACTTGGATATCCTCATATTG